CACCCCTGTGTCGGGCCCCCGCGAACGCGGCGGCCCTTCTACAGCAAAGCCTCAGGGAATGCCCTCCAGACACTGCCACGCCAAGGGTCCGAGCCGGAAGCCGCTGCTCTCCGCCCCAGCTCCACTCACCTCCGCGGAGCCACGGAGCAGGAAACACCTAGGGCCGCCAGGACGTTTGAAATCGCTGCCCCCTCACGTGACGCGTGGCGCGCGCTCTCATTGGCAGGTTCGAACGATAACGCCCGCCCCCGCCTCGGGGTGCTCTGGGCTTTGTAGTTGGCTGCGGCTGCACGACGGCCGCCGCCAGGGCCGTGCCTCAGAGCAGGGCTCGCTCCCCGCTGCTAGGCCTCCCTCACTTCTGGCCAGTTTTTAACAGATTAAATATATGTCATTATTCACGGGCTGGCGGAACTAGAGATGGGCCTCTGGAGCACCGTAGCACTCAGGGCCAGCGGGGTGGCTGGGTGGGTGCCAGCAGCCATGTGTGGGGCTGTGGCACCTCCTGCTCTGCTCAGCCTCGCAGGCCAGGCCGCGCCTTTGACGCTTTCTGCTCCTCAAGTGCAGCCCTCGGCTTTGCCGTTTTACCCCCCTTTGTCGCTGCAGAACCTGGTTTGCCTGGCTGACCTCAGCAACTCTGGTGGTGCCAGCAAGGGAAGTGTTGAGCAGTACTCAAAATGGCTGTGCTAACGGGTGGTAACTGCTGGCTCTGTGGCTGGGCGCAGCCCTGTGTGCATTGCCAACCTTGTTATATTTGCTTGGGGGGACACGAAGTCAGATAAATCACTGGGTGATTTACACTTATCAGGGTAAAAATCACACCCCTAAGCCAAAATGCCCTCAATTTTAGCCCCCACCCTCTGAATCTACTGTACCCTTAAAGGACTAGAGTTAAGACACCAATCAAAGGCCATAGATAAATGTGAAATGACATCGTAACTTGGTCTCAACTTCTAGTATATAAATTTTCTGTTCTGTCCCTGTAGTGTACTAGGTTTTTTTGCATTAGCCTGCTAGCACCTGATCCTGCGCAAGATTGTAATAAACCTGATGTCTCTATGTGCAGTATTGGCTCTGAACTCCACTTGTGAGACAGCAGAAGAGAAATCCTCTGTGCGCCTGCTTTGTAGGGAGGTTGTTGTCTGCAAACCTGGTGCCAGGACCTGCAGGGAGCCCAGGAGTTCCCTAAGCACTCCTGAAGCACTTGGCTTTAGAGCCCTGCTGGAGTGCAGGGCCTCAGGGTGGCTCCCAGCACAGCTGCTGTGCTAGTTATGATGGAGGGTGAAGATGGGCTCCTCTTTTTTCCTCCACACCTTTGCTGGGTATGATTGCCCTAGTAACTTAACTGCACCAAAAGGGATATGTACCTGTTGCTAAGCTGACATAAAGAATAGCGAGATTCCTGGATGGCAGTCCCAGCTACTGCCAATTAATATGCGCTGACTGATAGAATAGTTTTAAAAGTAGACCCACGTCAGTAAGAAACACCAGGAAAACACCATTCTTCCTTATTTCTTCTGACATTTAATGCTGTGCAGTGCCTAGAGTTCTCTCATAATGCATACTGGGCCTCAGAAATTGCAGTCCAGTGATGTATTCTGTTCTCAGTATTCCGGAATGACTAAATCACTGGATTGGAATTTAGCAGCTGAACAAGAATGGTTAATCATGACCAGCAGATTTTCATATAGACAAAATAATTTGTAACCCTTTCTCTACTTGGCCACTTATATTTTGGTATCTTTCATGGAGCCATGCAAGCAGTATATATGCAGCTTGAGTATATAGCAAGTATCCTATGTACTGGCTAATGTGCACAGTAAATAGCTGCCAGACTGAGTGTTACCATGCTCACCTCCTGCCTTTCCTCGCTCCCCATCACCCCAGCAGTGCCTCCTGACTGGCAGTGGTCAGTCAGGTGAGGAAGCATCAGTGTCACTAACAGCTCAACAGCAAGGGTTTTTTTCAGTAAGGTGAGTGAGGGTCCATGGCACAATCACAGTCTTGATGAAATCCAAATAGCTCTTTTTACAAATGGTATTTATGGAAAAGAGTTGTAAGATGGATGAGAGATGAGTAAACAAGCTCAGTCTTAATTTTCTGAAGCTTAACTGATATCCCAGGACCTATTTGGAAATTGCTAATTGTTTTACTAAAACTAAAGAGACCAATTTGGTTTATATAAAAACATAAACACTATGTGAAAGAAAGGCAAAAGCCTTTAGAAATGCACCAGAACAACAAGTTTAGGTTTGTCTTAACAGCAATTATATGTGGCGATAAGCTTAAACAAACATTTAAACAAGAAAGAACGATTTTCTTTGACAGTTTGAAGATGATGCAAAATGATGTTCATATTTTATTTTAGGAAAGAAAGACTTTGGCCTGTTTTTCTAATCTACAAATTTAAGTGTGTATATTCATGAGTCCTACAAATAGTTGCTGGACCTTTGGATTTATTATGCTAAAGCAACCATTAGCCAAGCTAATTGTGCAGTGCCAGCTTTTGGGAGACCTTCTGCAGTGGCACAGCCTCTTGTTAACTGTGACTCCAGGTGGTCAGGGAAGAATAGGATGTATGTGACTTTTTTACTAACCCTAAACGTCCAAATATTTTCTTTTGTGCTGATATACTGCTTATTGACTGCTTATTGAATATAATTGTGTTTTAAAAAATCAACGGATTATTAAAGAAGGCACTTACTTTTTCATAAAAATATTTGAATATTAAAGCACATCTATGTGATGGAGGCTTGAAATTTCACTCCAGGCAAGTTAAGCAAAATTACAGTTGCGGAAAGGAACTAAGTTTTACCCTAAAATAGCCTGTGATCTAATAGAAAGTAGTTCTAAATTACAGCTCATCCTGCATTTTTCATCTCCAGCACCCTCCATCTGTGCATTACTTGTGTTGCTATGAATTTGGCAACACTTTAGCAGAGAGCTACTGTTTATAAGAAGGGATCCCAGCAGCTAAAAGAAGCCGGTCCTTGGGATTACTCATTACTTGCCTTTTGAGCTGCTCCAGGGAGTTTCTTGAAGAACGATGTCAAAATCAGCTTTAGAAAAACAGTAATTTGAGAACTTTGATTGACACATATCAAGCGCTCCCAGATTAGCGTTGGTCAAGTTAGTGGGCTTGGAAGAAAGATTCTTTTTGTTGGTACTGAGTGAAGATTTTCCTCTTTTGTGCAAGGAAACAAGAGGATAAAAAAGGACTTCTTCCTCTCTGCAAGAAGAAATCTGATTCACTGAGAACTCAATCACCAGGACACCATGAATTCTTCCAGGAGGTAAGCTGCACATACTGCGTTCCCCTCAGGTAGGAACAGGAAAGCAAAATACTGACAGCATATTCCTCTTGTGGTCTTCACCCAGTGCTGGCAGATGATCATGAACGGTGCTATTTGATTTGTAGTTACACAAGACAGAAGGTAGCCCTTGTCCTGTTACGAATGTTAAATGTGTATTTCCAATTCTACAACTACTTTCTGTAAAATCTCAGCTACAGAACTTCTGTTTAATGCACTAATTCCCTTTTGCAGATGGCACTTCCTAGTCTTTCATTTTTAACAAATCAGTTTTGACAGCTCTCTTCCAAGTGTGCAGAAGTATGTAAATATAATTTGTGTTTAAAAGATCTTTACTCGTAAGCTTTATCTGCGGTAACATTTTTGGTAACTCCTATTCTTCTGTGATAATAACAGCAAGATCACGTATGAACCAGAGCTGTAATACATCTCATGCTTCTCAGCCCACTTCCTAAGCTACATGAAAATCCCGAGCTGATTGACCTCCTTTTGGCATTCTAGTTCAGATGGAATTACAGGCATTCAACTTTTTTTTCTCTTAAAAAAAATAAAAATAAGCAGGCCCACAGGGGCTTAATAGGCAATTTTCAGTGGAGGTAACAGTAACTGGTCTTCAGTTACCATAAGCTAACACTTCTTATTTCAAATGGTTTGGGAAAGGTGGCAAAGCAAGGTAAAATGTTACTCCAGAGAATCCTGTGGATATGCTTTGTGTAGTTACTCCTGATTGGTGTCTTTGGCTAATGAATCCCTTGACACAGACTGCTGTGGGAAGTCCTCTCTGAAAAGCAGAGATAGGAATACATTATCAGAGCAGGATGGGAGGCTCACATAGCACATGCTGTGCTTATTCCCATGGATTAAAGCTTTGGAAACTGGTAAATTTTTTTAAACCCCGCCACTTTCATAATATTGCAAA